GGCCATTACCATTTCCCAAGTGGGAGCAGAACCAGACTTGCGAGGGGTATTTCAAACTTGAGTGGTTTGGTTTTTTCTCAGTTAGATGTCTATTAGTCAGTTTTTCCACTGAACACCTGGCCGTGGTTTCTGCAATTTATCTCGGTGTGTGCAGAGATACAAATCCCCTCCGGGAAGTGAGTCACAGAGATGGAGTGGAGAAGCCTCTGGAAGGGGGTGGGAAGGCCGTGTGGGCTCCTTACCGTGAGCATAAGTCGTGAAGTCAAGCAGATTTGGAGATGAGTCTCAGGGTGTCACTTTCTGGCTGTTTGTTCTTAGATGAATTATTCACTCCTCCATCCTTTGGTTTTCTCGTTTGTCAGAGGGAGTCAAGAGAACTAAGGTAGATCATATCTTTGAAGCATATGGCATCGCACCAGCCCCACCGTGTGAACCTGATATGGGTAACTGTCGCTATTAAATTGGGAGGTCTACCATATTGCTTCATGTCACAACTCTCTAGAATTCATGTGTCATCATTTTCAAAATATAAATGAAAAATCTGTACCAGAGGAGCTTCAGTAATGACCAGATCTCCAAGGGTGTCATTCAACCCGTTACTTGCCTCTTCCTTTACCTCGTGGTCCTTCGGTCGATATAAATGGTGCCCAATACCTATGCAAGGAACTTTTAAAGAGCTGAAAGATGAGACAAGCAAGAGGTTCGTGGAAGTGTGCAGTAAGGCAAGGCTGACTGAGTTGTCAGCGTCCCAGGTGGTGAAGCAAAGCTGTGAATTTCTGGAGAGCAACAACAGAGGGAAGGGAGGAGAAAGCCTTAGGGAAGGAGGGGAGGGCAGGACAGAATAGCAAAGCTGCATCTCTGTGTCTCAGAGAAAGAGGTGATAAGGCAGCACTCGTGGGAAAGGGGAGGAAACACTGCAGGTTTTACAAGGATGGAATGGCTGGCTGTGGCAGAAGGGTATTCCAAGAGTCAGGCATTGCTGTGAAAATAAAATAGAAGGTAGCAATTCTGCAAAGCACTAAAAACAAAATGTAAAGAGAAGACAGCTGATAATGGAGACGGAGATCTGAGACACTGAGGGCACTGGAAGGGAACTGCGGCAACAGGAGGAGGTGGGCGTAGGGAGTCTGGCTTCGTGAACTCGGCTGCATGGTTCCCTTTACTCTTTCTCTCCAAAAAAAAAAAAAAACAGTCATCCATTCCTTTCAGGGCTGTACATTTTGCCAAATATGCTCTTTAAATATTGCTTTTAGACCATTTCCTTGATCTGCCAGTACACTACCCAGATGGGCAAAAATCCAAGCTCTTTCCTTCTGGAGTCCTTGTCATGATTTATACGAGGAGTTTTTTCCTACCAAAGATAAGATCGAAGAAGGACAGAACGTAAGCTGCACAAAACACGCAATTCCTGACAATAAAATTCATTGGCTGGAGCTATCGTGAGGGATATTTGAGATGATACGCAAGACAGTTGGATTCTGCTCACAAATATAGCTGAAGAACAATGTTTCTTTTTTTAATAGGAACATTTGAAGGAAAGAAAGGGAAGGCTAAGGGAACACTATATAAAATCAGTTTTTCTTATGTATGAAAAAAATTTAGCCAGTGCCTGAGCTCTGTCACACCACATGTAGATAGGTAAGAACTTTTACAGTTTCCCGAGTGAATATTTGAAAGGGGAGGTTGCTGAAGGAGGCTGTGTTCCTTTATTTTCTCCTGCTGGACCCTGAGGTCTAAGGCAGGGCCACACGCATAGCTGGCAGTCAAGAAATATTTGTTACATGAATGAGTAAATAAGGCCTTAAAGAAAGCAAATTAGTAAATAAATTCTGTAACCATCACCACCAGCTCAAAGCTAGTTGGCCCAGAAAAACCTGTTACAGGTTTAATCTCATGGTTTGGGGCACCCCAACCGGAGTGCAAAGCTTCAATTCTGATAACACTAAATCACTCAGGTTATAAGCAACTGTGAAAAGAAATCAGCCTGTTCATTAAAGAAAAAAATTCAAAAGGACACGTGCACCCCAGCATTATTTTCAATAGCCAAGACATGAAAACAACCTAATGTCTATAGACAAATGATTGGATAAAAAAAGTTGTGTGTGTGTATATATATACACACACGCACGCACACACACACACACACACACACACACACACACACACACACACACACAATAGAA